CTAAGTTGCAGCGATATATTGCATACATCTAACTTTAAAACAATACAAATATATAAGAAATATGTTGTCGAACCAAATATTCATTTGAGTGAATGAATCAACTGCAATGACTATCTTCTTTTATTCGGGTTAAAATTAAATAATTCAAGAGTATCTATTTTAAACACTTGAATGTACTAGAACAAATGCACAGATGTAGTTAATGCCAAACACACGAATTTTCTAGCTTTATAGTTCGAATTAGCACTGTTATAAATAGCTTGCTCAAAACATACTTCGGAGTTCCACAATGTTCGAAGAGCTCCATTAAATGCTTTCAATGCAGCTCATAAATAATTTTCTGCTCCAGTTGCAGAAGGAAGGGGAAAAAATAATTCGGAAGGAAAATTTCATTGAAATCTTTCAGTATACACACGAAACGTCTCACTGAGAGATTTAGTTCTAAACTTAAGAACAATGGCAATGCGGCTTTAGAGTAATTATGTCTTTTGTTTGTCAGTTCCTTATTTCCGGACTCGTAGCTAGTTTGCTATTGTCCTCATCGCGAAAAGAGTTGGCGAATGATGATTTTTGGAAAAGTTCGCAATTTTTCCCACGCAACCAAAAAAAAACCTTATGTTAATGTTCATTTTATTTGTCTATTTATTATTAATTTTTTTTTTTTTCTCGTTTTACTTTCTTCCTTTTCCCACTCACCATTGCGACCTTGGCGTAAGCCTACATAACCAGAACAACAAATTCCCCAGTTACGCGTGGTATCCCGAGGTGTTTTGGAATACAGAATTTTCGCATTCCCGTATAACTCCACAATTATTTTAAGATACCTGTAGGCTAAAGAGCAAATACTTCATGCAGTATATATAATTATTATTTATGCGTACGCGTATTTATGTATGTGCGGCACATTATATCGAGTTTGCGGGACACTATTGTATCATTTTTCTTATTATTTAACACATATACAGTGTAGATAATCATTATTAGGAGGGTATATAAGCAGATATATAGTGTAGATATTCATTATTAGGAGGTTATATAAACCTTATTCAAATCTGTGGTTTTGAATAATTAAGGAATTGGAGGTGCTCACAGACTAAAACATAAGAAACTAAAACAGCTACACCTTGATTCTTTGGTATCAGGAACAAGAGAAAGAAATTTAGTTTTGAAAGCAAGAAAACTTTTGAAAAGTTCTTTTAATTTTTTCACGACAGAGAGTTATTATCACTTTACATGATTCATTATTATAATGGCCCATCAGCGGCCAAGCGATAAAATCGCAGAATTCTGGTAAATGGACCGAGATTCAAATCCTGGTCAACGGGCCGGCTGCAGGGAGTTTCCGTGTTTTTTCCTATGTGTAACGTGAACACATGTCAGTTTTCCTTAAAAGTCCTACACATGAAGGCATCCCTGCTTTTAAGCCAGCAGCCTTCATGTGCTTTATCGTGATTCAAATAATCCAGTTTTTTATTGTTAAGTCAATTTTAATCTTAACGACTGGAATTTCTATTTTACTCTTTACTGTTATATAACTACGAATGTTCAGTAAGCGTACACAAGCGTTATGTAACTAAGAATTGAAAAGGAAAGGCAAGACAGATTTTTATCAAGTTAAGTCGCAAAACAAAAATGACAAGGTTCATTTGGGGGGGGGGCAACATGGCACTTAAAGTTACCATTAAATTTCTAGGATAGACTTTAATGCCTAGAGACTTATTACTAAACTAAATTATAAAGCTGGTTTACATATTTTTTTTATTTTACATATAAAAGAAAAATGCGGAATTAAGAGACTATTACTAAATTATATTATAAAGCTGGTTTACATATTTTCATCGGGCAATGTTTTTAAAATTTTAAACGTAATCTTCATTATCTTATCTTGCAAATGTTCATTAGGCAACAAAATGGCAGTGGAAACACAAAAGTGAATAAACAAGGAATTCAACAGGGCAATAACCTCTCGTCATTTTTTCATGGCTAACAAGAGATAAATTCCTGATTTTCATATGCAATATACTTTTCAAGTTCCACGACTAAGCCTCTCTAAGAACCTTTACCATAAATTTAAAAACACAGTGAACTTAAAACATTAAAAATATCCTAAATTTCGCGAAGTGTGATAAAAACACCGATGAACTATATAAAAACGAACTGTAATAAAAATATACATACAAATCTAAAAGTGACTTCTCCTTCCCAGACTTTGATTAGAAAAGGTAAGCCTACCACTGGCATTTAATAATTATGCTATTATTATACTGTTACGAAAAAAAAATCGCGCTATTTCAGGTTTTTACGATGCGGTAGATAGAACACGTTTCCACTTTAGCCTTTTTAGGATCAATGCTAAATCCGGCAATGCGATCGGAGACCACTCAACTGAGAAATATACATGAAATGAAATCATAATGACGCTCCACTCCTTAATCGTCTTGTTTAGATATAACATTAATGCCACACGAGGATGACAGCTAACACAACAAAGGTGAAAACAAAAATATATTTGTTTGCAATTCAATGCTGTTGTTATCTTAATAAATAGCCGCATAGATTTCTACAGAATAATAGACGTTAAAATATTTTGAAAATTATGCAACTTCAAGAAAATGAAAACTGAGAATTTTTTAGGGCTGGAATAACAATAAATCCAATTTAAAAATATAAATCCCCGAAAAGCCGTGAAAATCATTAAGTGATGCTGCTATCATAGTTTTAATGGAAAAGATTCATTATTTTAGTTATGAATTTTTTTTAATGCTAGTCTCATCGAGCAGACAAATGTTGAACCATATCTAGAGGAATGGAGTTTTCATGATCATCTGCCAAATAGAATTAATGCATAGTATTCAAATAGAAGTTACGTCATCTTTCTAACTGAAATAATTGCTTCCATTTTTCCTTAAAAAGGCGCCCTCTTCTGATTTTCTTTGTTTCACATACAGGTCTTTAGGAGTTATTTAAAATACCAGAATTTTACTTTCGAATTTCAATACAGTTTTAAGATTATGTGCTTTGATTTTATTTTTGGGAATTATTCGTTAAAAAAATAAAAATTTCTTCCGTGATGTGAAAGAAAGGCTGAAACTGCAAAATTTTTGACGTTCTTATCGCGAATACTAGAAGGACAGAAAAAGCCTGAAATGTCACGATATTTTTTTTTTTTTTGAGATCCAAAAAGCCTGAAGTGGAAAAAGCTGAAATGGGTTACCTAGAAAACAATTACTCGTTAGATATGTAAATTTGAACTGTTATGATCGCAGACTATAATTTGTGGAAATTTTCAAACATAGGAAAATGCGACTGACGCGAGAGCGAATGATTTTCTATAATTTCAAAGTGAGGCTAAATCAAGATGGAATGCTGTCAACGTTTATAGTTATCATATCGTGCTCCAGGAGTCACCTATCCTTGCATTTATATTTAGTAAGAAAGATGTGCCTGCATTTGTTTTACACAGACCGTCGAAATCTCTAGCTGTGTTGATGTTACCTGTAGTCGCACTTCATATCCTGAATTTGTTTCTGTATTTTGTTTTTATTTCCACATAGGTTGAGGAAATGTTTCACTTAAATATGTTATTCTGTGGAGTTGAAATGTTTACAGCTGTGTGAGAAATTTCTAGATATTCGGCATGAATCTACAACCAAAAATTTAAGAGTTACTCTTGTTTAAATTTAGATTTCAATGGCCAATCTATTGAAATGTCGATAAGTTGTTCCCTTTCCTTCACTGGTCGTAGCACACAAACAGACTTTTTAGCCAGTTATTTTTAGTTTTACCTTCTGGGAAATATTCCCTTATAGTTTTCTTCAATTGAGAAAGGTGCTCCATTGTATAATTTTTAACACTGTCATCTAAATTCACTAATTTTCCGTTAGAAAACTGTTTAGTTTTGCAAAGCATTACACTTTGACATATGATGTTCACATGCTAAGTTTTAAAACTAATACATAATTAAATGTATCGTTATATTTTTTAGTGAATAAGCACTAATCAACTAGTGCGAGTGTTTTATAATTTTCTTTCCGAATTTTTCTTTGGACTCACGAAATCCTGGGTTTGACTCGCGGAACTCCAGGGTTTCGAGGAACACAATTTGAAGACCACTGACTTCGATAAACAAAAGATAATTACAGCTAAATGGTATAACAAAATTTATGTGGCTGTCGTTTTCATTCCGAAGACGACATTGATGAGGCTATAAAAGCATATTTTTCCTCGATTCCAAAACAGATGGCTTTAAACATTTTATCTTTGGAAAATTCGCCTACAAAAGTGCAATGATGTCAGAATGAACTACTCTGAGCACTCTTAATATGTGATGAATTCAACTATGTGAAAAATTTCAGTGTGAGCCTCGTATACCAGTGAATTGCTATAAATATTGTTTTTTCGTCCCCTTAAATGAAGAAATTAGGCGAAATTGCCAATCTGTCCACAGATTCTCTCAGCACTAAGTGCATGACTTTTCATGAATACAGTAAACCTTTCCTAAGACGACTACCAACACACCCTGATGATTTTTATCTTTCATGGGAATGGCTGACTTAAAAGTGATTCACAATAATATTTTTCATGCATGTTCATAAACACTGATCATTTTCGAAAATGATCATGACTAGGAGATATCACAAGAGGATTCACTATATATGTACTATGAGAAAGTACAGTGAATTCTTTCGTGGTAACTGTCTCCTTAACCACATCTGAAAGTGACTAGCATTTTTGGAAATACAAACATCGCGAAACGTATTGAAATATATACTGAAATCAACTCGCTGATTCGATTATCTCCACAAAAGCTTAAAATCACCATGAGCTGTGGATGTTCTGTTTAGAGAGACTTCACTGTATTTTAAATAAGTAGTATGATGTACAATATAGTTTCCAGTATTCTGAGGCTTAATTAAACAACTCTAGCACTTTTTAATACCAATAAATCTAAAATTTAGTACATACTTTACAAAATCAAGTAATGGAAAGGTGATACTCACATTATATAAGGATAAATGGCCATTGTAAGATTAAAGACGGAAAGAAAAAGATGCCGTTATTTCCTGTTCTACATAAAAATCATACAACGTTATTAAACCAAACAAATGAAGAATAGTTCGTATTCTGCATGAATCAAGAAAATGGCAAGCCACAGGAGAGAATTGCAGTTAACTGTCTTATCTACTTCCTTCACGCTGATATGACAACCTAAACTTGTTGAAGTGTCCGAAAGTAACTTCCGAATAAATGGTCAGTTTAATTCATTCTGTCATGCAAAGAATAATTCTAAATACACATGTACAAATATTACATACGATATGGGAATGATATTATAATACAGCTGCTTTGATAACGGCAAGGTATCACTGTAAAGAAAATTTTTTATTTTTTTTTATTTTTTATTGTAAGAGAGATTAGATTACAAGTTTAAGTTCCTATAGAATGCTAAGCAAAAGTGACAAATTAACGAAAACGGTTATGTCTGTGTTCATTCATTTAATACAGATTAGCTGTGAGTAGATTTATGGTACCCACACATACCTTTCAGATGAGATTTTTTTTAGTTATCAGGGTTTTAGCTTCCAATCTGGATTTTATAACTGAATGTGGTTTAAAACTAGGCTAATAAAAAAATTAAATTTTTATTTTTATCATTATACTTCTTCAGCATAGAGGGATACCACAAAACTTAGACAGACAGTACACAGTAAATCAAAATCAAATCAATGTATTGATCTTGCCGGTAAATTTGATAGTAATTAATAATGACACGTTTGTTATAGCACTATTATCTTAAGCTATAGCTATTGGAACACAATTCTATGAAATATTCCTTAAAAAACTAGTATGCTATTGAAATAAATCGATATAAAACACAAACTAACTAACGTCTCATAATGAGTAAAGTGTACTCCTTTATACAGAATTTAAACATAACATATTAAAAACCTGAAGGCATTTCAGCTCTAAATTTGTTGATCATTTAGGCTTATTTGGAGAAGGAAACATGAAGAATGTGCAATACCCTCGTCAGGATTCGAAAAATCTTACAACATTTTAAACTGTAGTGTTTCAAGCAAAACACAAATCGCCAAAATTTTCCTTTGAAAAAAAATCCGAAAGGTTTCAGATTAGCCGGTCGTCCAAACGGGTTTGTTAAGTTATTTTACGCTCTCGCTGAGGTCGCAGTCTACCAGTCTGCGGTTGCACTCACTCCTGCTAATCTTTTTCTTTTCTTTCTTTTTTTTTTTTTTTTTCTCCTTTAAGTTTTTTTATTATTGAGCATCGTTCTCATTGTGTTTAAGATATATACCACTCAGCAGTAAAATCACAAAAATTTTAAAAGCAACATAACAATATATGTTTAGAGTTCCCGATGCAGTGTTTAGAGTTGGCGGACATTTTTATATTTCTTATAGTCGTTTCTCAGTTTATCACATTAGTATTTTTAATAAGAAGGCTAAAAAACGCTTTTTGTATTTTTATTAATATCTTTTGAAGTGTTAGTTTTATTTATTGAATATCACGTAAAAATCAGTACTAATACCGTTTCCTCCCAGATATGGAAGGACCAAGACTAAAATAGCAGAATTAAACGAAAGAAGAACATGTTTGTATCAAAACCCGATTTTTTGTCAAATTTTGTCAATTTCTAGCTTTAGTCTAGTTTTAGATTTTCTATAAAGGTGGCCCTAAGAACAAAAGTTTAAAGTGAAATCTAGTTAATGAAAGAGTTAGAAGTGTATAGTTTAACGTTAGAAAGATTTTAGACTTTAAAGTCTTAAACAAGGTCGTTTACGAACCTTTAATTTTCGACTGTTTAAAGTCTGGTCGGGAGTTATGTAAGGATTATGTTAATTTTGTTAACAGTTAAATTTTGAGTTAAACTCCTTTCCTATTGCTTCTTAATTTCAGGTTACCACTTCCGGCCAGATCGTAGTTTTAGAATCACGTTTGGATGCAGATCCAGGAAAAGCCGTATTTAACCGCGAAGTTCTACTGTCTTAGTCAGAGAGAACCAGAGATTCTAGTTAGCACGCGTCCGCCCTTTTAGGTTACTCTCTCTTAAGCTATTATTACGCTCGCCCGTACTTTAGGTCCTCGATAGCTTCGCAGTCAATTAGCGTTAACGGGCTAACTCCGTTAGAAGTTTGATAGCTTCGGTTTTATCTCTTTAGTTAAGATTAGTTTAGTTTAAATCTTAGTTTCCTAAGTTCAAGCCCGAGTGTCGGCTTTATTGTACAACTCCAAGACGGAGTCATGTTACACCTTATTGGAATAATAAACTGTCTTTTAACCCTTTCCAAGTTTATTTGTCTCACGAACTCAAGCGATTATTCGCTTACTACTTATGCCCCCATTATGCGAAGTTAAATTGAATTTTTCAGTTTCTATGTTAATAAAAAAAAATAAAGTTGAAGAAAATTTTTATTTAATTTATCATATGTTCCAAAAGATCAAAACTTTGTTCATTAAAATTTTTTACCTAATTCAATTCCTATAGTATAATACAGGGAAGACCCAATCCTCCTAGTCCCACTGGACCATATGACCATAAAGGGTCGACCCCCTCAAGACCACAAAAGGAAAGAAGAGAGAAAAAGAAGCTAATTAACTAAAAATAATTGGAGGTTAATTAACGAACTAAAAATAAGGAAGAGACATACAAACAACGAAGCACAACACCAAACATTCAAAATCCAAAAACAATTAAAAACCCCACGGGCAAACAGAGTGGCGGAAACTCTCAAGAAACATTCATTCACATGAATTTTCGGAACAGGCACAGGCGGTCCAAAGCCATCGAGGAATTCCCAATTTAAATAACCTGTAGAAGGTCAAACCGAATTCCCTACAGTATTACTTTAATAGCATATTATTTGTATAATCATAATTCTATTTAAACTATTAATTTATTTCAAAAATTTACTTTAATAGTCCTACCACTATCTGAATTCAAATGTATTAATTATCTTTAATAATCATAGAAAAGAAGCTCCAGGACTGCCAATAACCAAAACAAAACCAAACCAAAAACCAAAACTGGAAAAATTTAAGATTGCCATGTATCATATTAAAACTTTAGCAATTACTTACTCCATTAAGAACAGAATATAAGAAAAATTTTAAAACTTTAAAATTTCAGAACATTTTAAAATCAAAAACTACAATTTAAAATTTAAGAAAAAATATAAAAATTCCATAAAATTTAAAATTTAAAAATCAAAATCCTGAAAACTCAAAACCACCATTAATTTCGATAATTTAAATCTGGTAATCCATCAGGATTCTCAACATCTTGCAAGGCCATATCCATGCAACAATCAACTGCATCTCCTCGAAATACCGCATGCACAAAACATCCACAATGCATTAAATAAAACAATACACAGAAAAATTTCAAAATTTTCGTAGTAAACCTATAAATACTCATAACTGAGAAATATAATACATATAATCAAAAGATAAATATACACAATACTAAACAAATATTCCAAATTCAACTCTATTAGAATTAATCAAATCCATTGCACATTTAGAATATGTTTTTAAGATTTCCAAGTTCCATGACTTATCTCCCAAACATTTCTTTCTCAAATTTTCCAATAAGGAACAATGATTCAAGAAGTGATCTGCGTTACCAACTTGATGGCAATGACCACACAAGTCTGAATTTTGTAAATTAAATCTCGAGAGGTACGCGGGAAATCTTCCATGCCCAGTTAAAAACTGGTTTAAATCAATATTACTAATTGGTCGCATACCATTTTGAATTTTAATAGACTTCAAAAGACCCACGCACCTCTCTGATTCATTCCATCTAGTATTCCAAATATCATTATAAAAATTTTTCATGTTTCTAATTGCATAACTTCTCGAACCAGAAATTTCTATATATTCACAATCATCATTAGTGGTCGCCTCTTTAGCCAGCACGTCGGCCCTTTCATTTCCAACAAAGCCAACATGGGCTTTTATCCAGTGTAAATGAATGCACATATTCTGCATCAAAAATTTCAATAGACATTTAATATCAAATATTAATAAATTAGTAGGACGGGCCGAGGTCAAGGATTGAAGCAAAGACATACAATCAGTATATATATGAATAGAATTAACACAAGTCAAATTTTTCTTAACCCATTGAAGGGCTTTAAGTAAAGCACAGCATTCCGATTGAAATACAGAATTATAATTATTAAGCTTATATTTTTTATTTTCAATTTCAGTTCCATAATGATAAATCACAAATGCTGCACCCAATTTATCATCTTGCCTGGACCCGTCAGTATAAATATCCAATTCTCCAATTATTGGGAGTTTACAATCAAATTCAAAAAACACATAAATCAGAAGGATGTACCAAAATATTATTAATTCTTTCAAACATATGCCTTGTAATCAAAATATCTTTATACAATTTAAAATCAAGTCTACCAGTTCTGAACAAAAATTTTTCAAAATATAATTTATATAAAATTGAAAGAGGCGGCGTGCCGGCTAGAACGCAGAGCACCTCAGTTGAGACAGTACGGAAACATCTTGTAATCATTAAGCACCAGCTCCTCTGTATCGCATCGAGTTTGTTCCTCAACCTGACCAAATCCCCGGCTCTGGATCCCCAGGCACCAATTCCATAGAAAACTCTAGGGATAATTACATTATTCAAAATATCTTTAAGAATGCATGATTTGTTACAAAGTGTCTCACTAGAAAAAGATCTCCTGTAAAACATTAACATATCATCTGAGAGCCGATGAATTGTTTTAAAATGATCTGCGAAGGTCAACTTGCAATCAATTTTGACTCCCAAATATTTAATAACATCAACGAACTTTATTCTTTTTCCTTGATATCTAAATCGTGGAGCTCTCACTTTGATCCCAGCCCGCGGGAAAATGATTGCAAAAGTTTTTTCTAAGTTGAATTCAAGACCCTCGCCGATTCTCCAGTTTTCCAGTTTTAACATAACATTCTCAAATGATTTCTCGAGTTTTTCCAATGATGCACCATACATCAGAACAGCAAGATCATCTGCATATGCAATAAAGTTAACATCACTGGGGAATTCCAAAATAAGAAATTTGTTTAATATGATATTCCAGAGCAGGGGAGCACTGCAGGAGCCCTGCGGACAACCAATGAAAATCTCTAGTTCTATCTCTGCAGTTTCATCCTTAAAAGCATTAAACAAGATTTTGCGATTGTTAAAATAACTCCTATAACATTGAATCAAATTCCTTGGCAATTTAAGGTTAATCATGGTTTGTAAAATAGAGTTCCAGCACACTGAATCGAATGCAGACGAAACATCCAAGGACAGCAGCACTACGTGATGCGAACTCTTATAGCTTCTAATAAAGTCAATAGTATCATATAATGCATCATCTGTAGAACAGCCAGCTGTGAAACCATACTGTCGCCGACTGAGTATCATTCTACTATTCAGGTAAAACTTCAATCTCTCAACCAAGATTCTTTCATACACTTTTCCAAAAACACTCAAAAGTACAATTGGTCTATATCTGTCATTCTGCTTTGGAATTAAAACAACTCGACCGATTTTCCAATTTCTTGGAAACACATAAAATTTAAAACAGTAATTAAAAAGCAATATAAAAATATCCAGATATGTAAAAATTAAAATCTGAACAAATATAGGATTAAAACAGTCCGGGCCCGGAGCGCTTCGACGCCTCATTTGTTCAACTGCACTTCTGATCTCTGCCTCTGTAATTACAGCGTCATCCAATGGACAATCAGAAAGTCTATCCTCATCTAATGAAATATCCCCAGGTGCTCCCAATTTGAGTGATTGCAAAAGCTTCTGTCTATTGAGTTCAATCAAATTGTCAACGTGCTGAGGATTATACAGAGCAACAGCACGTCTCACTTTTTTAGAGGCAATTCGATAAAAACCATCATAATAATAAAGATTATTAAGAAAAAATTTCTTCTTAGTTTCAAATTTTGTCTTCCGAATTAGACGTTTATAAGTTGCCAATTCTTTTTTATATGCAATTTTCCTTTCATTACGTATATTGTCCGCTAAATTCAAAATTTGCGAACTTTTCCTCAAAGCACGTATCCGGCGTCGCATACAAGTAAGTTGTGGAGTCCACCACGAAATCTGCCTACTTCCCTTTTGTTTTGTTTGTAACTTCTTTTTAACATCGATAGACAGATCCTCAAAAAATTTTTCAATACAATTTTCAATTGTATCAGAGTCCTCACACTTCAATAAATCTAATTTAAATTTCTGCATTATCGGAGCAATTTTATAACAATATCTTGTAATCCGGTGGACATCTCTTGTTAAAACAATCTTAGGAGCACAATGAATATTTTCATCATAATTCAACTGCAAATAACGATGATCACTAAGACTCTCATCCATCAGAACTTGCAGAGCTCCAGAATTGATAGACAAACCTGGTGAGGTCATAACAAGATCAGTCCATCCCTCACCGATGGTAGATTTGAAAGTTGCAGGAAAACTCAAATCATTTAGTAAAATTATATTATTAGAGACGATAAAGTCAAATACCAATCGCCCTCTTGCATCAATATCTCCTGCGCCCCAGCTTGGATGTTTAGAGTTAAAATCACCGGTAACAATGAATTTATTATAATTTTTCATCACAGATTCCAGTTGAGAGAGATATTCCTCTATGTGTTCTGCCGCAGAGAAGTAAACTGTAATGATGCCCAGTCTGCCCGAAGACAAATAAATAGAAATAGCTGGGGAAGCATAGAATACATTTTTGCATTGAATCGATTACTGCAAAAGATATCGATTTTTTTTACTTCCTATTTGGCTTCCCAAAGCTCGGTCCTGCGAGTGGGGGGTCCCTCTCAGAGTCAAAGCCTGACAAAGTGCCTACTCACTGAGGTGTGAACCAGGGTACCAAGTCGGTCTACAGAACTAGTGTATATTATTTGTTAACTCTCTTTCGCATCGAAATCGCCCGTAGCGCCCGTTCATTCAGGCAACGGCAAACCGCCCGAACGCCTCGTTTATTTTCTACCTAGTTCTTTCCCCCCTCCACGTTAGTGTATGGCTCATTGGTTTCGCGAGTTGTTAAAAGACATGTCAATCATTCTTGAGCAAAAAGGAGAAATACGGAAAGCATACGTCGCATGCAATCGGCCTATGAACGCGCACAGGATAAGGATGAACCGCAAAGGGGAAGGAAACTATTCCAAACATTCTAAACACGGGTTTCATGTTGTTACATTTTGTCTCTTAAAGTTAAGCGTTGAATAACTCTACCTACATCAAAATGAGTTCTAAAGACATTCTCAAAGAAGGACAGGCATATATTGCCACCTTAGAGACAATATTGACAAATTCTGGCATATTCTGGCATAAACAAGGCAGTAGCCGCTGATATTCGACATCAATTTCAATTGATGTTCAACCTTCTAACTGAACAGTGTGTCGAGATGGCACACATGGAAGGACAAATTCATCAAACGCCAAACATTAAAGACTCTTATGCGGACGTACTTAAACGTCCAGCTCGTGACCGATCCAAAACATGGAGAAAACCAGATAAACAACATGTCACTATTTTATACCCCACAAATGAAGGGGATAAACCAGACAACATCAGAAAGAAGCTCTTAAAAACTATTGATCCCACAAAGCTCCACATTGGAGTGAAAAGACTTAAAAATGAGGCAAAAGGTGGTCTCTTAATAGAGACCAATAAAGCGGAAGACATAGAGACGCTAGAAAATGAAATAAATACTGTACCAGAACTTAAAAAGGACCTACAAATTGTTCGTCCTACACGTAGGCTTCCTAAAATTATAATATATGATATTCCAAGGGACTTGACTAAGGAAGAACTTAAGGAAGCCATTTTAGCCCAAAACGAAGGCATCGATGGTGATGGCCTACAGGTTAAATTTCCTATCAAGCATAAGAACGGAAATCATTGGGTTTGTGAAACCTCACCGGAGGTTTTCAAACACTTACTAAGTTACGCAAACTGTGCGTTAATTGGGAACGTTTCAATTTAAGAGAATACATCAGACCAACGCAGTGTTTTAAATGCTGCCAATACCGACATATTTCTAAACAATGCCAAACAGAAGAGGCATGTGGACATTGTGGAGAAGTGGGACATTCCCACAAAAATTGTGACAATAACTACCAAAGATGTATTCATTGTGCAGAAAGAAATGCGAATAGTGATAAGCACCTTGACGAGCAGCACTCAAGTTTCTCAAAAGACTGTCCTAGCAGACAGCTAGAAATTGAAGATCTTCGAAGAAAAATCAATTATGGCTAGAGAACTTATTCAAAATATAAAAGCGTTGCAAATTAATTTAGCGAGATCACATGTCGCAACAGCACAACTAAAGACTTGTATCTTTGAATACGACTTGATTTTTATTATTCAAGAACCATACTGTATCAATGACAAGCCGTCTGGCTTTCCGACTCAAACACATTTTTCTCCAAATGAACATCCCAAAACAGCCACAGTGGTGGTTAATCCACGACTTACGGTTCTGAATACTTACGCTTCTTCTACTTTAAATGTTATTACATTAAAGATTGAAAATAGGACAATAACCATTTTCAACTGTTATAGTCAACCTATAACGGACTTAACAGATTTAACTAATCTGTTAAACTTAGCTGAACGTTACTTTGATGATCAACATGATCTTCTTCTCCTTGGCGACTTAAATGCGAAAAGTGAGCTCTGGGGCTCCCCTTTTGAGGATCCCAGAGGACGCACACTTAGAGAATTTTTAACAATGCATAGACTGGTTGTTGAGAACGATCCGGATGGTCCCCCCACCTACAACTGCACAAGGGGAAAGAGCTGGATTGATATTACAGCTTCCAGATCAATCTCTTCCACGTCTTTCATTCATAATTGGAAAGTTATGGACTGTATCACTTTAAGTGATCATTGTTATATCTCTTTTGAAATTACGTATCAACATTCTAGCTCAACTCAAAGAGTCAAATATAAACTTACACAAATGGATTGGCTCTTACTGAAGGCAAAAATTGGTCACTTTTTTGGTTCAATGGAATCTTACTTGCCTAAAGATACAGTTGATCTTAATCAACTTATAATTAAGTGGACTCAGAAAATACAGGAATACTGTGACTTGGCAACCCACGCCAAGGGAAAATATGTTAAAACTCAACACAAAGGTGTCCCTTGGTGGACCCCGGAACTCTCAATATTACGAAAAAGAATCCTCGCTTTGAGAAAGCGTTATCACAAATGTATTTCATGATGACGAACTAAGGGCACACTATAAGCAAGTCTATGAAAAAGACCTTGCTCTCTATAAAAGAAAGCTTATGCAAGCCAAAAGAACAACCTGGAAAAGATATCTGGAGCGTCTAAGTCCTAGTTCACCCTTCGGGGTACACTATGACATTGCTAAGGGGACTATGCAATCCCCTCTACAATTAAAAGCGTTACTCAAACCAGATAAAACCAAGACTTCCACAATAGAAGAAACTATACGTTTCCTAATGGATTACCACTTTCCTAAAGATATAATCAGCGAAGACACGGAGTTTCATACGACAATTCGTAACAACTTAAGGAATCCATATAATTCAATAAATGATGTTCCGTTTACGATTCCAGAAGTGGAAAATGCTATCAAATCCCTCAATCCAGGCAAAGCACCTGGAATGGACAATATATCTAAAGAAATTATAGCTGAAGTTTTCTATGCTAACCCACAATTACAAGTAGCGTTACTTAATGAACTCTTCCGTCGAGGAATATTTCCTAACTGCTGGAAGACAGCGAAATTAGTATTATTCTCAAAAGAAGGAAAAAATGGTGAGCTTCCTGATGCTTACCGCCCTATTTGCTTGCTTAACGCATGGAGTAAAGTCTATGATAAATTAATCACTAACAGATTGACTTATTTCTTAGTATCGAATTCCAAATTAAGTGAACAACAATATGGCTTCACGGCGGGAAAATGCTCAGCAGATGCCATCAAGGACAACATAGTCTCACAAATAGAAGCAAACCGACGTAATAATAATTACACCAACGTTATCTCTTTGGATATCAAGAGTGCATTCAACAATATTTGGTGGCCGTTCCTACTACAGGAACTCCGCAATCTGGGATGTCCTCTAAATATTTATAAAGTTATTGAAAGTTTATTGGATAATAGACATATAATCTATGAAATAAATAATGTTCAATACTCCATAAAACAAGAAAAAGGATGTGTACAAGGATCCAACTCTGGACCACTATTCTGGAATATAGTAATGAATATAGCTTTAAAACTCGAATTTGAAGATGGAATCCACATCCAAGCTTATGCGGACGACGTTTCACTCCTAGTAACAGGATCTATGCATATGCAAATTCAAACCAAGGCAAAGTTGGCGCTTCAAAAACTATCAGAATGGGCACTCAAGTGCAAACTTCAATTCTCTCCCGAAAAGTCAAAGTCTATGTTTATAGCAATCAAAAAGCGTGGTGCAGCCTATTCAGCACCGACAATAAAGATGAACGATCATACCATTAAGCAACAAAAATCCATTCAATATCTTGGAATAGTCATAGATGAATGCCTTACCTGGCTACCTCATCTAGATTATATTAAATCTAAAGTTTGTAAAATAATGAACAATCTTCTTAGATTACTTGGGATGCCCAAACCAGTTCTGAAAGAACTTTATAAACGTGCAATAGAGCGTACCATAGTATACACATGTCCTGCCTGGTGGTACCCACCTACGGTAAAAATGCGAAACAAAACAAACTCTATACAACGCATAGCACTTCTTGCAATGACCAAAAGCTATAAGACTGCCCCTACTGCAGCTCTTCAAGTGATTGCTGGAATTATGCCGCTTGATCTTAAATTGGACATGGAAAGCATCATCCAACGTACCAAACGAGGATGGACTGACTTTAAATATGAGGACTTAGAACTTTCACGGGATCAGATTGAATTCCCAGTACCTAAATGGCATTCTCATCCAGCTCATATTCAAGTCTTCGGATGGGACAACAAGCCTCCAATCAATAAAGGTTTAGAAATTTATACGGACGGTTCAAAAAGTGAAGACGGCACTGGAGCTGGCTTCTGTTCCTTCATGAATGGAGTTTGTCACGATCAATTTATGTTTAAACTGGATAAGACTAGTACAGTATATCAAGCTGAAACTTTAGCATTAAAGTCGGCATTACTATGGTTAAAATCACACCCCAGTCCTGCGCATATATATTCGGATAGCCAGGCTGTTTTAAAGTCTATCCATAAATACAATATCTATAATCAGAACATTATCGCCATAAAGAAATTACTGGCTTTTACAAAAGCAAAGCTTCATTGGATAAGAGGACACCAAGGCACTGCCGGCAATGAAAAAGCCGACGAGCTAGCCAAACAAGGGATTTACTCGAACACGTACCTAGACTGCAAGATCCCTATGAGTAATAGCATCAGGACGACAAAGATGAAAGCTCTCGATCTATGGCAAAGACAATGGAACGATGAAGAAACAGGACGACAAACGTTCACACTTCTACCGAATGTTTCGGAGAAACGGCATTTCAGTGATTTTTTTTAAATCAAGTTATCACTAATCACGGAGCCTTTCCGATTTATATTAACAGATTCAAACTAAAGGAATCTACATGCAAGTGTCAATGTGGTAGTGAATCCGCAGATGCACTTCATATGATTATAGACTGTTCCAGTGTATCAACAAAACGTAGAGAAATTTTCAAACAAAATATAACTTTAGAAACTCTAAAACAACTAATTAAGAACGACAAGGGACGATCTTTGTTATCAAGTTTTATGGAATACATATACCATAATGAATCAGATCTGTACTTATAAATTGATTGTATTATATAATATTATTGTACTTATATTGGAATACTCATATCACAATGAATTAGATCTGTACTTGTAAATTCAATCGTATCATGTAATATCTTTGTACTTTTATTTGCCATGTTATTAATCATTTAATTATTGTAATACTTAATATTGATTCTTTACTTTGTTCTTCCTATCATTCTATGTTGCATTGTATAACTCAATTTATGTTCAAAAAATAATTTGTTTTGTAAATATAAAAACATGCTATGTAATGTATTTTTTCAATAAAGACGTGGCGAAGAGTTAAAATCACCGGTAACAATGAAATTTATTATAATTTTTCATCACAGATTCCAGTTGAGAGAGATATTCCTCTATGTGTTCTGCCGCAGAGAAGTAAACTGTAATGATGCCCAGTCTGCCCGAAGACAAATAAATAGAAATAGCTGTAATAATATCAGTTTCATAGTCTCGTGTGAAATCAACATCTGGTTTAGTTACTATAATTCCCGTTCTTCCTCCACTATTATATGCGGATCTCCATTCAGGATTTTGAAAAGCCAATTCATTCTGTACCGCATAGGGCTCCTGCATACAAATTATTTCAGGAGAGGAACCAATAATCTCTTTAAGTACCTGGAGCTGGGCTTGGGCGAGTGCGCAATGATTTAAGTTTATACTCAAAATTTTCATACCAGACTCTTTCATGATTAATCTCCAAAGAACAAATATATTATAAAAATTCAATAAAATTACAATAAAATTTTACAATAAAATTGAATAAAATTCAATAAAATAAAACAGAAAAAAACAGAAAAACTTGGAACCCAACCACAAATAATCAAAAAAGTCTAAAACTCACAATCAATATCTAGATGATCCTTCAGGAAATTTAACTCACTCAAGTAACATGGACAATTTTTATCCATGGCATTATGTTTCATATCAAAGTTAGTCTGAAATTTTTCATTAGAATAAGTACAATTAATGCAATTAAATTCTTTACTACTGCATTCTTTACTCAAGTGAGCCCCCGTACATACATTTGGAACAGCAAATTTCAGCTTGACAATTCTTTTTGGAATGACTAAACGAAAAAAAATCTTGTGCATTGTCTAGGTCTAAGAAACAGTTTTAGGTCATAATTTCTCCAACCTCGGTTAATACCTCTTGACAGTAATTGATCATTCTGGCAAGAAGCGCTCACTAAGAATACTCTATGACTATGATTCCGATTTCTTGTTGGTAAATTGAAAAGAGGTCTAACGCAGTCTCCGGAACACAAACAATTTCTCTTTAAAAGAATTCCCAATTCCTCATTTGTAAAACTATTATCAACATCGTATACAATCACACGAGGCCTTATAAAGCGTTTCCTCCTAATAATCAAATTCTTTTGTAGGCCTTCATCATCAGCAATTGCTCTTTCCAGCCTCTTAACTTCCTCTCTATCTCCCAATTTCAATCTCAATTCACCTCTTTCTCCAAATGAAGACTTTTTAATATTAATCCCAATCTCTTCCGGTTTAAACTTATCGCAAATTTCATCATATGCGTTAACATCTGGAACCGCAGGTTTAATTACTATCTCATCCAATCCTTTAGCCGTGACCTTAGCATATGTAGGAGATCCAACTCCGTGCAATTTCTCAAATTCGGAGGTCATTTCACTTCTCATTTTCATAATCGCTTCTCTCAAAGCAATTACTTCATTAGAATTTTCACATCTATCTCCAAGAACTCCAACACAAGTCAAAATCATGTTTAGTCCATAAGTCAATTTGTCAGTTAAAGTACATCCAATTTTACGCTGTGCTTTGATTTTATCGACAACTCTATGTAAACTATTAACGATTTGCACAATGTCCCTTTCTTCATCTTCAGTTGTATTAACCTCATCTTCTATTTTATCATCTGCATTAGGCATAATGAAATTATATTAAGTGGCCGGGCTCCAAATATAATGTATTAAAAACACATAAATACAGTTAAAAAAACATTCAATTGCAATCTTTTATCAAAAGTATCAAAATTCCGCACACTCTGTAGTACATACAGACAGTTTAAAAAGAAAATAATAATATACAAATTTATAACACTACAAGAATTTACAAAATTCTAAATACGCAGAATACTAATTTGCACTAATTTCAAATCCAACTACATTTAAAGCTTAATAAAAGCAAATAAAAAATATATGTTTACACAATGCACGCTATACAATCGTGCTATGATAAATTTAAAAATCTCTAAAAATCAATAAAATACCACAACATTCAAAAATTTCCTATTTAAATAAAATAAATAAGAAAAAATCAAGCCCAAAACGGGCAGAAAGTTTCAAACGCAGGTGCACCAGTTTATCAATTAGTTACTCCTAGAAAAACATAAAAAACAGTTTCAAAAGATTTTTCCAC